ACGACTGAAAACTAGCTCAATCTGACTCAGACAACTTACAGGGGCTAAATTCGTAAAAATATCTTCTGTTTTTTTGTTTGGTCACAAAGGACTATATTGTAATTTCATACCACTTTTAGGTTAGATTTGCATTTGATTGAAGTTTGGGTCTAGTATTGGGGTCAAAACCAAGTTGTAGGTTAGTTTTGGCAAAAACCCCCATATTTCATTTCAAAATGTAGTTGATGTGGTCCAAGTCATAAAAGGGTAGAAGTAAAACTCTTCTCTCTATATATTGGTATGGCTAAATAAATGTATCTAAAAGAGGGGAATATGAAATTAGTTTGTGACCAAGAAAATATAGTGAGATAAGGTCGAGAAAGCTATTGGAGGATGAAGGAAAGAGGTGAGAACGCAGGGTGGTTAAAGTTTGCGTCACAAGGAAGCTAATGGATCTTCTTGATCACTTTTGACAATTCTTTATTCTTTCCTAATATCCTTAGGATTGTGATGTGAGATTATCATTTTGTTTGAATGTGTAATAAAAGGAGAGAACTTAATAATGATTTTAAAGATTCAAATCAATAAAAATGCACTCTCAAATTCATTCTCGTTTCAGATATCCTTATCTTATTTTTTGTTCATTGAATAATATCATTATCTTAACTTTATTTTGAAAACAATTTTCACTAAAAATATCAAATGGGAAAGTTAGGTATTGTGCAAAACTTTACAAGGATGGAAAAACCGCTTTCCTACTTGTAGGATTGTTTATGCCCAAGTTCATGCATTTACCGGTGAAATTCAAAACAGTTAAAATTAGCCTTCCACGTAATTTTATTCCATTGTCTTCCTAAAAAGTAGATTCTTCAAAACGATACTACGTGAAAATGGCAATGTGGGGGCAACTTGTTTATTATAAAGAACAAGAAAATATTTGGGACCCACTTTGGCATGTTCACACGTCGGATCCAACGTGGTAGTCACTATCTATTGGTTCTCTTCTCTAAGACCTGACAAGTTGCTTTGACAAAAGAAGCTAAAACCTATCTTTTGATCTCATCGTTAATCTATTGTAGCCAAATCATAACGTATATTAGGAGTAAATATAAACTCATCGAGATAAACTCGATTACACTTTACTTAATATGCATTTCGCAGAGATAACATCCAACTAGATTTTGAACCGCGCAACCGTACGGGTGTTTATTTTCATTTATACTTAGTTATATAAACATTTTGTTTTCACTTGTAAATTGATATATATATATATATATATATATATATATATCATAATAATCACATATTTACGATATGTATAGTAAATGTTTTTCAAACATAATAATATTATATAATACATGTTTTAATCAAATATATTGTTTCAAATTTTCTATATTATACATGTTATTCAAACATGTGTTTGTTTCTTCTTCTATATTTTATTGTTTGTTAGATTAGCATTTCATTTTTAGATAAATTAATATAAATAAAGCTTGATTAAATATTAGTATACTTTAATTTTCAAAGATAATATAAAGTTCCAAATTTTTTTTGCTAAAACAAAACTTATAGCTTCATAAATTAATATTAAAAAAAAATTTAAACAATTTTTTTTTTAAACAATATAATTTTTGAAAATTTACATCGGAATAAATTTATCTAGTATATATAGCGTGTAAACTTTGTTAGGGTATATAAATATTCCATATTACGAATATGTGATTTTTGTTAATATATTGTAGATGCATTTAACTATTATTGACATATTTCCTTATAAATAATAGAAGATTCCTAAACTTATATCTTTTGACATATTTGCATGACTAAGTTGGAAGGTGTAGGATAATTTACCAAAACGAAATTGTTAAGCGTATATTTGTTACTATAGATATGATTTTTCATAAGATATAATAATGATAAGATTATTAGAGAGTTAATGTAACATGACTTTGTAGTAATCTAGTCCTTTTTTAAAAAGATCACAAATGAAATCAAGTCATGATTTCTGTTTTAATATATAAGATACTAATCTAAAACGAACGATACCATTTTTTCGGTAGTTTCATTTTAGAAATAGTCTTTGATCATGGGAAATGATTAAAAAAAAAAGAAGAAGAAGAATCAACCTAATACTATTAACTATCTGTGCTCCAAGGAGTGTGGAAAAACAATACCGTTTTTTATCCGAACTTCTTCAATGCACGCTCGATAATCCCTCAACCAATACCGAACCAATAAGGTATCGTAGTTGGGCCACGAAAATATATAGTCTCTAAATTTCTAGCTCTATTAGAAAAAGGGGGAAAATATATCAGACGTAGGGTTATAAACGGGTGAGCTTAAGCATATGGGATTAAAGAAAATTACATTAAGCGGGCTTAAGACTCAATGGGTTAAAGGTTAACGATCCGGATTAGTCCCTTCTGATTAGTGGTTGAGGACTGGATTAACAGATACATGTGGACACTGTATTTTATAACATCGTAAACATAGGGGAGTATATAATAAATATGTAGGAAAAAATGAGGATTAATATGCCAAATATCTGAAACTATTGGTAGGCCAATAAAGACCTGAGGATCAATAATCGAATCTTCAATTGCATGATATCATATAAAATTAAATATTACGAGTAAATACGTAGGCATAAATATTATAATCACACACTGTATGATTTGGTGTGTATTTAAATCGAGTGGCATGCTTACACACAACTCCCCCTTCTAGCAACAATCTAATTACATTAGAAGAAAAAAATCCTTTTCTTTCTTCTTGAGAATATTTAGAAAACAATAATATGTTGCTTGGAAATCGAAGACAGCCACACATGCAGAGAACACTAAGCATGACGAGGATCACCATCGAGGTTGATGATACTCACACCGCCGGTCAAGATTCTGACGTCACTATGCCAGTGCTAGAGGGCGGAGTTAGCTACGACCACCGGTTCTTGCCGGTAAATCACAAAAGGAACGAGAGAAAACACTGTGGGATCAAATCATCGTTGCCATCTTCATCTTTTCTTGGAAGCTGTGGATTTTGCAAACGCCGTTTAGCTCCCGGTCGTGATATTTACATGTACAAGTATGTTACATGTTACTTACTCTTTTCTTGAATATTTTTATTCTTAAAATTATGTGTTGCATACCCCTAACTATATGTATACATCATTGTAGAGGAGATGCAGCGTTTTGTAGCGTGGAATGCAGAGAACAGCAGATGGTGCACGACGAAGGCAAAGCCCGAAACAGCGTCGTACTATCACCATCAAATTAGTTCTTACTCGTAAAGTCTTAAGTTTGTGTGTAACTTGAGATTGTCGTTGTTAACTATTAATTAGCACCACTATGTAAAAAAAAAACATTTTAAGAAAATTCGAATGGAATCATCTTTTATGTCCTCATGTCCTGCATTTTATTTTGTTTCACGTTACTTGTCTATTCTATAAATCCAGGTTTATTTAGATTGATGATATGCTTTTTATTACTTTATGTATTTTCAAAGAGCTAGTGAAAGTTGAAGTAAGCGCACCACAAACCTCGTTTATAATATGATCTATAATAAACCTCAAAACCATATGCATGCAACTCAAGGTAATTAATTAAGATATTAATTTGTAAATGTACAACCTTTTATTATGAAAAGTGACATCCTTTTCCGTATTTTATGGTCAGTACATAAATAGTATCAACGTGAACAATTCTTATTGGATACTATGAGCTTTCTTATGATATAGTAATAGTTTTGTCAATAAATCATGGTAGAAATTTAGGTAAGAAGGTTTAAAGAATGTAATGGAAATGGAAGTCCACTGTCTTGTGACGATGAAAGCGTCTGATAATTAAGTAATGAGGTATAGAGTAAAGTAATGCCAATGCACGTCACGTCCGATCACAGCTTAGCGATGATAACCATATACTTTTTTATTATAGGACAAGATGGAGTATACTGTTATGTTTAACAAAAAAATTCGAAAATTTAAACGATGTGAATTTTTAAACAGATACTGTAAATGTTTTTACACGACATTTTAACAGGATGGAAGACAGGAAGAGTAGTTAATAGTTCGTTCCTCAATAATTGAAGACTAAATATTAGTTTTATGGAAATGGATCGTTATCATATAGCTTATAGATAGGATTAGGTTTATAATTGGTCTATAGTTTATTTATATAGTTTTGTTTTTTCTTCACTGGTCTTCTGAACTCCAAACCTCGAGGCCTAGTTGTTGGAGTTTCGGGAGTCATCACAATTTGTCTTTATTTCTAATTACTGATTAATTAACTATCAACAATTATATGATTAAATGGAATAACTAGATAATTCAGTATTAGGGTATCTTCAACTAAATTAGTCCTCCAACATATAATTAATTTAAATTATTTATGCCATCACTCTCTCTCTTTTTCTTGAGTAATAATTAAGAATTCATTGAGGTCATTGATGATGCAATGGAAATATTAAAACTTCTTTTAACGGGTTTTGAATCAAGAATTGGTCCAAACTATACACTTGCAAATGAGTATATTTAAAATAGAATTATTATGAAAAGACCAATACGCTTGAAGAAAACTTGCTCCTCATTTTTCGCATAGCCAACCAGATCGAATTTGGTTAATTACAATAAAATAAAGAGTCAAAACATCAAAATCGCGCAAGGAGAACGAGATCCAAGATAAGAGGACACTGAAAAGTGAAAACGGATAAGCTTCTTTTTTTCGTCACTGATAATTTTTTTTTTTTGATAATCCAGTATCCGACCACTAAGCGTGATCGACTAGCCCACCGGGCCTAAACCCATGCCATAACAGGATTTTTAAGCGTTTACTTAAGGGCCCCTGGTTACGTTAAGTGGTCTGGAATGCCACACCAACTCTGCAAGTAAATTATGTGGTGGCCGGGGTTCGAAGTCGGATGGCGGGCACATCAGCCGAGGTTCCTTTACCACCAGACTACGAAACCCGGTTACTGATAATTGAATAATTACATTTGTTGGGGGTACTTCTACAACGATCTATACATATGACGGTTAAATTCACATAGCAATACCGTGTGATGTGAATCAGAATATAAATAATTTTATAGCCAATGAACGTAAACACAGATGTACAAAATATATAATTGAATTTTTATTTCCAAATAGACATAATAATGACTAAGGATGAAAATCATCTAAGCAAAGTATGAGAACGTTTAACCAAGATTTGAAGAGCTTGGTTGCTTTGAGCTTTGCTTAGGAGATTCTTCACGTTCTGTGTCATCTGTAATGATTAAAAAAACAAGAACATTTTAAACTATACTAAACAATAGTACAAGCTTAGTAATATGTGAATTTGTTATGACTTGAAAAAGGATGAAATTCTGTTACCTTCCCGAGATTTATACCCTTCGTGTAAGGCATTGCTTTTTGGGCTATTTGGTGATGACTTCGACTTCTTGTCATGATTTTTGAAGAACTTTGCGACTTTCCTTCTAATTGATTCGGAAGTGTAGATTCCTATATAAATATGTACATAAATATTTAAAGAAGTAACGATATGTATAAGTAATGAAAAAGAATAAACAAAATTTAAGAAAAAAAAGATAAGAGAAGAAATTATGAAGAGAATACGGCATACCAAGAAAAGAACTGTTGCACAGTGCTTGAGGACCTCTAAATTCATTCGAACATCGTCAAGACTCCTACAATATATCAATATATATAATAAGATTATCTTACAAACAACGTGCATTAAGATACACACACAAGTATCACTAAGGTACCTGTGTTTTTGCACTCCAAGACCAAAATAGGCAGCCAAACTTGCCATCTACAATAGAATATGAAACAAGCATGATAAACGGATCCGTTTGCTGTTTTGAATATATTGATTTGTCATAGATTTTTGAATCTTATATTGATAGTTGATAAATTTCCAAAAAACCTATTGTGATAAACAGAAGGATTTGTATTTGTTTAAATACTATAATATTTTATTCAGCAAAAAAAACTGAAATATTTGTTTTAAGAGATGTAAATCATTTGCTCAAAAAAATGAGATGTAAATTCACTTTTAGCAAAATAAAAATAGTTTACTGTGATTCTTATAATAAACCCTTATATTTCTAATCGATCTTTTTGAAATAATGCCATAGGAAAAGCAAAGTACCTTCATGTTGCCAGCTCTTTTGCCAAACTTTTCACTTAATAACCCCAAAGAATCAATGATCCCTGAGGGCTCAGGCGCAGCTTGACCGATCTCAGCAAAAGCTTCTTTAATCCTAACGCAGTCGAATCTTCTAATGTTATGACCTGCCCAAATCCGACCGTTCAACAAACCATAGATCTTCTCAGCCACATCTTCGAAACTTGGTGCGTCTGTGACTTTAGCCCTCGTGATCCCATCTGACCTAGACGATCTTAATGAGGCCACCGATAGGTCTTTGGGTTGTATAAGCGTTGTGAAGCTCTCTAGCTCCACGAGTTTTCGTGGACATACGATGATGGCACCAAACTCTAGGATGTGGAAATGTTGTCCTGTTTTGTTTGGTACGTTAGTTTCTAAATCAAAGAATACGATTTCGTTGGGAAATGTTTGGATCTCCATATCAATCTTTTTTTTTAAAAAAGATCTTATTGATTTTGTAGATCAGAAGTGTGTCTGTGTGTGAATATATATTGTGGGTTAAGGGTTATTACTTGTGATATAAACTAACTGTAGGTTCGTGTTGGAGGTTACTTTGATGGTTATTTAGCTTCATGGAGAAAGGTTTGCTGTGCAGGGTACGTAAGAATCTTGCTTATTCTTTATCGAAACCAATAAAATAGGGTTGTTAATGAAACAATATATAGGGATCTTAATAGGACCAGAGAGTTTTTATTAGTTCACTAGAATATGAAACATATTATAGTTTAGTTTTGATGAAGGAGAATGTACTCATTTTAAAAATTATGAAATCATTTTTTAATAAAAATAAAATAAAATAAAATGTAATCTATAATATTGAAACTCCAAACGTTTATAGGCTTCACTAGACCTTTTGGATAACACAAACTTGATTCGGATCCGTTCGAATGCGCAGGTTATGTTTCATTTATAATTGAAACTTAATTGAAACTTTATGTTTTTATATGAAAAATATTGCTCCCTCCGTTTCAGTTTACATGTCGTTGTAAAAAAATTTTTCGTTTCAAAATAAATGTCGTTTATATTTCGATGCAGAATTTATTACTTAATATATTTTTATTTTGTTTGTTTGTTGAAATGTGGTTAGGTGTATAGGTAATTGCGATTTTATTTTGAAAATATATAAAATTAAATATTTTTTAATTTGTATGCAAAAACCTAAAATCACAACTATTTTAACTTGTATGCAAAAACCTAAAACGACAACTAAAATAAAACGGAGATAGTATTTATCAAGACACCTCGAAGTCGGTCTAAATCTCTCTTCTCCCGTGGTAGTTTTTTCTTTTCTTTGGTCAAACAACTGATTCACTAAAACTTAAAAACGTTCATCCTCCATATAAGAAGGTCGTAACACAGGTAGCAAGAGTGTTGATTCCCCCTTTGTAGTTTGTACGTATAGCATGGAGACGTAAACCGAGCGACTCTTTTCCTTTTTTTTTTTTGTTGGCGAGACCTTTTTTATCGTACAATGAGACCTTATTTATTTTACCAAGTAGTTGAATGGTGATAGTTAGCAACTGATATACTTAATTAGATCATTGATTTCACTCATATTTTTAAAATAGTAACCAGAAAGTAAGCAAGCAATCAATCAATGCACGCTTGTCTTGGTTGAAACAATTTTCTTGAGTCCTTGACCAATATAAGCTTAATTAACTGGACATAAACCATTCAAATATTTTCTTTTATTGTTAATAATTATTCATTGTTTTGAAACATGTACACCTAACAAACTTCGCAAATCATGTAATGTTATCGCTTTAATTAGTGATTCGATCCACCAAGGATGCACTTTTTTATTAATCTACTCTATTAAAATAGAGTCACTATTTTTATCTACTACAAAGAAGTCATGTAGAACCATTTCATTTTTTACTTAGTATGACATATTCAATTATTTAGGTTAATCAATCAAATATATATCATATATGCTGAAAATAATAGATTTATATTCTATTTTTAGTTATAACAGAATCGGTTGAGAGAAAATCTAACAAATCTTACTAAAAGTTTAAATATTTAATTATTAAATAACATAATAATGAATTTCGTAATTAATAATATCATACTATTATACATTCATATTAATTAAAATTTCACTATAATAACAAAAAAAAGAATCCTATACTATTTTATAAATTTACACAATATAACATAAAAATATAAATTATATATTTCAAATATTTACATTAATATTAAATAAACTTTTTAAAATGAAAAATATACCCGCACGAACGTGCGGGTAAAAACTCTAGTAGTCTTTAAGTTTAAAGCTACAGTTAGAGGTTTTCATTAGTAAACGCAAGTGGAAAAATATGTTTTAGTGGGACGAAAATCTCATTCTTAACAAATCATGACTGGAGATAATCGTAGTTAACATTGATTGAGGATTAATATATCATAAAACATTACAATTTAGTTTTTTTTTCTTGAAACTTTAATATATTCGAGTTTAGTTCAGTGTTCCAGTTAATGAAACTCAATATCAGGAATATAACTATTATGGGATTGCTAAAGAAAAAGTGGAAAGCCGTGTAGAAGCATCAAACACACTCTTTTTGGTGTAATTGATGAGGTACATATGATATTATATTCTATTCATTTTGCTTAGAAAAGTCGATGTATTATTAGAAATTATCACCAAATCATAGAAAAGTAATACGCGTTTTCTCTAATGTTTCTCTAAAAAGGCAAGTGGTTTATCTTTAATCACATGGCATGCAATGGACCAATTTGCCAACTAGGAATTGATATATCATTTTATCTCGGGGTCAGATAAGTTTTTCATTTACTACATAACCTGAACTTTACGCTGGTTTGAAATATGTAAAATTTTACAAGATGTTTTGATGTCAATATAGAAAAAAAGAACAAAGAAAAATCAATGTAGACTTTCAATATATGATCCATTTGTAGAATTTTCTTACGCAAACAACGCGGATAAAGTGTCTTCGACTTCACATGCCTTATCATTATGTAATCTACATATATATGCATAAATTATTAATACCACAACAAGAATCTCGATCTTTGTTATATTTTAAAAAATCAAGTGTTCAATAGAATATGACTTATTCTTGAGTTCACCTTCTAAAGTGATCAATAGGGTGGTGTTATTTCATATTTGATATTTTTTTAAAAAGGAAACAAAATCTTATCAAGTTATATTATGTTTTTAAAATAAAAATAGAAAAATAAATAAAATATTAATATTTACAGAAAAGGAAAAAAAAATCTTAAAAAAATATTTTAAAAATATATTATGTTTTAAATAAAAGATAAAAAATATTTTAATATATCTTTAAAATAAAACATGTGTTTAAAATAAAAAAATAAAAAAAAATAAAAAATAGTATAATTAGTTAGTATTAATTTACCCAAGGGTCAAGATTTTTCTAAAGGGTTTATGATTTACCCAAGAGTTTAGGATTAGGGTTTAGGGTTTAGTATTAGAGTTTAGGGTTTAAGATTAGAGTTTAGGGTTTAGTGTTTGAGTGTTAAATATTTTCTACAAAAGTTTTTTTTTTCGTTTTTTTAATATTATTATTTTTTCTTTATTTTTTGTATTTTTATTTTAAAAACATAATATAACTTAACAAGATTTTATTTCCTTTTTAAAAAGATATCAAATCTAAAATAACACCATCATATTTGGTTGGTGAACCTATGGGGTGAAGCTAAGAATAACTCATAGAATATGTTCCACTGAAATAACAGTTTCTTTTATCTTCTTTAGTACAGATTCTTGGAGACACAGCCAAGAAAATGATGATGAGATCCAGTAGATTTTCTGACACAATCCATGTCTTCACTCTTACGGTCATCTGTTTCACCACCCTGTTCTCTTCTTCCATCCTCGTCCAGGGAAAGATCCGGCGATTCAAGTGGGAGGTGAAGTACGAGCTTAAGTCACCGGATTGTTTTGAGAAGCCAGTCATCACAATAAATGGCCAGTTTCCAGGTCCTACCATCAAAGCTCAACAACGTGACACAATTATCGTCGAGCTCAAGAATAGTTTCATGACTGAAAATGTCGCTGTCCATTGGCATGGAATCAGACAGGTAACATACAAAAATCCTAGTCACAAATTTAATTACGGTTTGAATATGAGTTTTTTTTTTCATTTTTTTCAAGAAAAAACTCGATGAATACTTTTAGTGTTTTATTTGGTTTCAGATTGGTACTCCATGGTTTGATGGAGTAGAAGGTGTTACCCAATGTCCGATACTTCCTGGAGAGATATTCACTTACAAGTTCGTCGTTGATAGAGTAAAAAATTATCATAAACTTGCAAAATATTTTTTTAATCTTTTTTTTTCATGTATGTTAACTTTTTATTTATTTTTTTCTACGTAGCCTGGGACATACATGTATCATTCACACTATGGGATGCAGAGAGAATCTGGATTAATAGGAATGATTCGAGTTTCCCCTCCAAGAACCAAACCTGAACCGTTTAAATACAATTATGACCGGAGCCTTTTGTTAACCGATTGGTATCACAAAAGCATGTCGGAGAAAGCGACCGGTTTAGCATCCATACCCTTTAAATGGGTTGGTGAGCCACAGGTGAATGAATCTACTACATATAAATCTGATTCTTAGTTGTTGATTGACCTAATTTTTTTTTTGGGATGTTAAAAATATCAGTCGCTTATGATACAAGGAAGAGGAAGATTCAACTGCACAAACAACCTAATGACTCCTCAGCGCTCAGAAGCTGAAGTCTGTAACGCTTCAAACGCTGATTGTTCGCGTTTCGTCCTCACGGTGATCCCCGGGAAGACATACCGGCTTCGTATTGGTAGCTTGACGTCTCTCTCTGCTCTTAGTTTCCAAATCGAGGTAACCTAGCTTGTGATGCAAGCAACCATTTTAATTCCACTCTGTTATTTTTCTCTCTTTATTTAAAATGAGTGAAATTAAACGACAGGGACATAACTTAACGGTCATTGAAGCGGACGGACACTACGTTGAACCATTCACTGTGAAGAATCTCTTCATATACTCAGGAGAAACATATTCCGTGCTTCTCAAGGCAGATCAAAACCCTAACCGAAACTATTGGATCACCACAAGCATCGTTAGCCGTCCAGAGAAAACTCCACCAGCAACATCTGTACTCAACTACTACCCTAATCACCGACGACGGCGTCCTCCAACGCCGGAAGCCTCCAATTTTCAACCGGCATGGAACGACACGCACCCCCGTCTTGCACAAAGCTTAGCAATCAAGGCGCGTAGAGGATTCATACACGCGCCCCCAGAGAATTCCGACAAAGTGATTGTGCTTTTGAATACACAGAACAAAGTTAACGGATACATGCGTTGGTCGGTCAACAACGTTTCCTACCAACACCCCACAACGCCATACTTAATCGCGTTAAAGCATAATCTCACAGACGCGTTTGACTGGCGTTTCACGCCGCCAGAGAGTTACGATTCTGGAAACTACAACATATTTGCGGTACCCTCAAACGCTAACGCAACGATGAGCGACGGGATCTACCGCTTGAAGTTCAACTCCATTGTGGACGTGGTTTTACAGAACGCTAATACGATGAACGTTAACAATAGCGAAACGCACCCGTGGCATTTACACGGTCATGATTTTTGGGTGCTTGGGTATGGTGAAGGGAAGTTTAATGAGTTGGAAGATCCGAAAAGGTATAATTTGGTCGACCCAATTATGAAAAACACGGTTGCGGTGCAACCGTATGGCTGGACCGCGCTGCGTTTTAGAGCGGATAATCCCGGCGTTTGGGCGTTTCATTGCCATATTGAGTCTCATTTTTTCTTGGGAATGGGAATTGTGTTCGAGTATGGGATCGATAGGGTTTCTGACTTGCCTTCATCTATCATGGGATGTGGTCAGACTAAACGCTGATGATATATTTTATTAATTCTTTTGGTGATTTTTTTGTAAGGCCAAATTGATGGAAATGATTTTTCTTAATGCTTTTTATCTGTTTTTGGTGTAATGCTTTTTATACTTTGACTATTGATTTCAATCAGCAGAGTGATGACCACTGACTCATCATACTTTAATTTAAAATCTTTGTACCAAATATGAAATAATATATATCTTTTGCTATAGGTTTGAGTGGCTAATTCAGCACAATGGACTATCCACGTTATGGAAGCTTGTTCTGATTAGAATGTTTGATGGTTTTGATGTGCTATTATAAATGAGTTTGTAGTATACGCCACCTGTTTTCTTTTGATTTGTTTTGTTGTCTAGTGTGGGGAGGAGGAAGAAAGAGTACTTGGAAGAAGGCGGTGATGAAGGGAAGAAAAATTAAATTTTGCAATTTCTCTTTCTTTTGTTTCTTGTATTTCCTTTTTGTTTTAATTTAGATAAGTTCGGGCCAAATTTTGCTGAAAATGCAAGAAGATTTCAATTGTATTTATAAACCAATCAATAAATGTGGAAATAATATTTTTTAATCTTTTTGGTCAAACCGATTTCATTCTTTGAAATTAAACATCGTTTAAGGTCCACAAGACTTGTTTGACAACTGAGTCAGCTCTAACATTAATTTCTCTATAAATAAACGTAAACTTGATTATCTTAAATGAGAGAGAGATATCACAAAAAATGTCGGTTTATCGGTGTTGATATGAGGACTTGAGAGTTTGAGAAGAGTGATATGGAATCGAATTTGTGATCCCGAGTGGCAGGTCGATATTATGGGTTTTAATTTAAATGATTGGTAGAAATATTTTAAAACCTAATTGGTTTGGCCCGATTTTTGCTGTTTATAGAGGACTTGTAAAAATTGTGTTTTCTTATTGACTAGAATTTATTTGCACACGTGGATAAATTTAATGTTGAATATTGAATATACATGATTAGTGATCAATACTCATTCCAAAAGTACAATCTATTTCTTTTGTTTTCCTTTTGAATGAAGAAGCTATCTTTCACCCTTAAACCTTTTGTTCTCAATGTTTTTATCCATTGAAATTTGCATTGTCCATTGTTGTTACAAAATTTGTACATATGGTGCAGATATGTTGGCAAAATTGATTAGAACGAGTCAACATAAGAGATTTTGTAGAGAAAATTTCTCAATGTATAATTCCTGAGATTTCTGAAAGATTTTCGTTAAGAGTTTCGAAAAACGCTCCACGACTCTCCTCTTTAAATAATCTATCTCCTCTTCTCTTATTATTCACTTTTTCTAATCGATATACAACATCAAAAATTCCCAAAATATAAAGTCTATAGATTCGAGAAGTTAATTCATCCATCATTCAAATTAACTTTTGTGAATATCAAATTAACTTTTTTTATTTGTCATATACAATTATACATTCCATGTGCTACTCAACGATTGTCATGCTCCTACATTATAAAAGGAATCAATACATAATTGATCAGAATCAGTAGATGAAATAGTTAATTATTTTAAAGCTACCACTGTAAAAAAACTATTGTAGGATTAGTAACATAATCAATAAAAGAGAAAAAATAAATAAAAATATTGTAATTTAATAAAATAAAATAAAGCAAAATAAAAAAATTGGCACGAGTGATATAAAAAGTCATTATGTAGACTGCACATATTAAAAGAGTGAATTATTTTAAAGTTACCACTATAAAAAAAAATATTATAGGATTAATAACGAAATCGATAAAAGAGGAAAACAAAATAAAGCAAAATACTGTTAAGAAATGAAGATGGTGGTTGGGACATATCCGGAAATGGACCAGACCACATCAGTACCATACCAGGCGGCCAAGCATCAGTCACTATCCTCCCTTGTGTTTATCCATATGTTGTAGTTATCCTAATCATTATAGGATTAGGATAATCATCCCCTTTATTGTTGTAATCCTTATCTCCTAAGGAATATGCTTATT